CTAATCATAACATTTCAATGAAACTTGGTACATAGATGTCATATGACACTGCACAGACCTGATAGTTTTTGTGGTAATATCAGTACATATTAATTACCTAATTTGCATAATTAATTAATTTTCAGCTTTTGATATCTAAAGTACTAATCATCACATATCAATGAATGTACATGGATGCTGTAGGACAATAGACAGACCTGGATAATTGTGGGTTAAAATCTGTACATATTAATTACCTAATTTGCATAATTAACCAATTTTAAGCTTTCGCATTGATATCTAAAGTACTGATTATTCCATTTCAATGAAACTTAGTACAAAGATGCTCTAGGACAATGTACAAACCTAATTAGTTTGGGGTAAAAATCTGTTCATATTAATTCCCTAATAAGCATAATAATTCATATTCTTTTGGTTCTAATCACATTTCAATTAAACTTGGAAACATAGATTTTCTGTTACATTGCGCAGACCTCATTAGTTTTACACTCAAATCTGTTCATATTAATTTTCTGATTTGCATAATTAGTTTACAGCTAAGTAATTTCGAATTATATTTAATGTGACTCCAATACTCTCAGCACATGGGAGTTCTTTCTAAGCTTTCTTTGATTTGTGTTTGTGTTGAATTTTTATTCAACATAAAATCCTACATAAAATTCAGTGTGATTGCATTTATATATATTATCATGTGTTGTTGTATGAAATTTTACAGATATTTACTGCACATATCATGCAGACGCTGTTTGCATGTTATCTTTTTTGTGTTTGTTGTCTGCGTGTATTACTACCGGTACCTGTAGTTTGTGTGTACCGATGTTTGTACCAAAATTCTCATCCTTGTTTTGTGTAATTTGACCTTTCATGAATGAAATCTCCACACAATTACTGCTGTAATTAATATTCATAGTGATATATATCCAATAAACCAATAAAAAAACAGCTACACTTGTAAAGATCCATTATAAATCTACATCATGTGACTTCAGGGTCTCTGAATACAATTAAACAAATCATCAAACTTCTTCAACTTTTACAATGTGGTTTTATTTATGGCATGGTGTTGTTCACAAAACCTTGAAAAAAAATATATGGTCACCAAAGTGATATACTTCTCACGCAAAGCACGGGGTGGATAATCCAAAAAAATTAATCACAGTTTCGTTTTTATTTACTAGATAAAATACTTAAAAAATTCATGGTTATTTCCATAATTATGTAAAACTTTTTTTACCTCTTTGTCAAATGTCTAGATAAAACCTTAGAGGTCATTCCAGTAATCATGAACAAGAGTTGTCCTTTCTTTTCTTATTTTGCTTTAGATTGATTAGTCACTGAGCGACAGTAGATTCAACTTGTACTGCCTGAGTACATACTTTGCGATATTCTCTCAATAACCTTGTTATACATTTTTCTTCTGCTTATAGGAATAATTTATTGAAAGATTATAGCTCAAAATGACAGCAAACAATCACTTTGTGCTGTGCTAACGTTTGTGTGATTAACAGAAATATATTTTCATCGTGTGTTAGTGCGTCTGCGTTCAATGTAAACATAGGAATAAATTTGAATGTTTGATTGAGTGCTGATACACTTTAAAATGTGTGCTGAGATGGCTTTAATCGAAACGTTTGCTAAATGCGTAATAAAATATAAATACCACTGATATTCTAATTTCTTTTTTGTTTTCTAGACGTACATTGACATTTTCAAGAATATACATCATTCCAATTATATAGAAGTCATACTCTCGGTTTGTGTATTAATATTCGTAGCCGGCGGGAAATATCTTGCCGACAAGTATCGAAACAAGATCAAATTTACCATGCCTGTGGAACTTTTTGCTATCATCATCGGTACAGCGGTGTCTTATTTACTCGAGCTGGAAGGCAAACACCGTGTGGATATTGCCGGCGAGATTCCACAAGGGTGAGTACAGATGTTGTGTTTCCTATAAAAGCAACAAGGATAGGATACGAGTTTTGAACTTATTTATATTGCATTGTAGTGTATTCCTAAGCTGAATGCTGGGTAATTTGCATACAACTGACACCTAATTTACATATCCAGTTTGTTGCAAATTACTGTAAAATGACTAATATTCACTGGGTTTAAATTTCACTGATTTAGCATTTCAGTCATATTCAGTGGGTTTTAAATTCACGGTTTTATCATTTAGATAATGTGTTCTATGCTTATTTTTACATATTCCCTGGGTTTTAATTTAGCGCATTTTCCAGTCAGCGAAATAAGCGAAATTAAAACCCAGCGAATAATTAACCCTTTTACAGTATATAATTAGCATATACTGTAAGTTAATTTAATTTGTGAAAATTTTGCTGTGGTAAACAAGTCATCATGACTTGCATGTAATCACACATTCCCATAAACTATCAGTTTGGGACAATTTGATCATTGAAAATTGAATGGTTTTCATTAAAGTGATTTTATTTTATTTTCTTCAGACTTCCAGCTCCATTTGTACCACCCATACATTATGGGTTATCTATGATTGGTGATGCCATTTCAATTGCCATTGTGGGGTTTGCTGTGTCGGTTTCCATGGCAACTACTTTTGCCAAGAAGAATAACTATGAGATTGATGCTAATCAGGTGAGTTCATTGCATGTCAAGTTGTGACCATGTAATTTCTACAATATTTAAATTTATTGTTTGTGTACACAATTCAAATGGAAATATTACTGCTTTCTTCTTAAGTTGTCTGAAATGTTTTCTGCAGGAAATGTTTGCCTATGGTATTTCCAATTTTGTTGCTGGTTTCTTCTCGTGCTTTGTATCTGCATGTTCATTGGCTCGTATGTTGGTCTACGACAGTGCAGGTGGCAAAACTCAGGTGAGTTCATAAATATAATAATTTATTTTTTTACCCATGATTGTTACACATATAAATATTTACAAACACTGCTGTAATAAAAAATTTCATGGGTAAAAGGAACCTGAAATAGCTACAAAGCTAATCGAGTCAGATCCCTGTGGACATGTAAAGCTTTACAATTTATTTTATTCATTGCTTTTACGGTTCAACTTGACAGTGGTACTTTCAGATAACTGAAGCTTATTTTAGCAAAAACACAATTTTGAGTACATTGAGAATTACATCGCTTACAAAATCTGCCTGAGGTCTCTGTCATTTCATAGTACATGCTTTGTGGTATTTTTAGTGTGTTGTAGTAATAATTAATAATGAGAAATAACAGTTCCAAATGCCGAAAAAGAATGTTTTCCACTGTTCAAATATTTATATTTAGTGACCAAATGCTATTTCAAAACATGATTTTTGGTGCCTCTGTTTTCATTGTACACAAAAGAATGCTTTCGAATTTGACATTAATTATTCGGAAAACACTTATTGTGGCTAAAATGTATTCAAGTCTAAATACTACCTTATACTAATGTGGGCAATACTTGAATAATTTCACTGTGTTTTTCCTTCTATCACTTTAGTTTGCTGCTATTGTGAATTGTATAATAATTCTCATTGTGTTATTGGCACTTGGACCTCTGTTTGAAGCACTGCCAAAGGTGAGTGTGAACATGCGTTATCAAGGATTTATAGGATGTAACTTTGATATCCATATAGGGTGACGTACGTGTGATATTTTCTGTCTGAGTTCAATGCACATGTCAATCAAACTTGGTCTGATCAAATAATGGCATTACAGAGTTCAATGGGTCCTCAGAAAGCTATGATCATCTAAGCTGAAATTAGTTTAAATTGTTGAATTGAATAAGGCACAAATAAATATATATTTATTTTCAACGACATTAAAAAAAACATCCTGAGGTATTGTTTTTCAGCATCAGTATTTCAAGAAATCTTGCAATCAATTCAAATTTTGCAAATTAGATGTACATTCCATATCACACAAGTTTATTACCTTGTATCTTACAATCCTTTATTAATATAAGCATGGTTTGTATATTTTGGCTCTTTCCTGAGTGGTCAAAATTACTCTGCAACATTCTGTATTGTGTGTTTTAGACCAAATTGGGATATTATCCGACAAAAGTTGAATCAGAGGATTAAAAATAATGTAAATGCCATTAAATTTAATGCTGAAGATGTAAACATTAACATGATGTTCTCTGTATATTGATCTATATCATTTATCTGTTATCTAGGCTGTTCTGGGTGCCATTATAGTTGTAGCGTTACAAGGAATGTTTAAACAGTGCGCTGATTTACCAATCTTATGGAGAACTTCCAAGATTGATTTTGTAAGTTTTTTTTTTTCAAGTTTTATTATACTTTAAAATATTTGTCCTTGATGATTGTGATTATTTAAACAAGACAAATATTTGATGTTGTCACAACAACATCAAGATTCTGTAGATAACACCTGTAACTGCAAGATATTCCGACTGAACATGGGTTTCAGACCAGGTGTACTCATAATTCATAGTATGTTTATAAAGCCTTGGTGACAAAGAGCTTTGTAAATATTCCTTAACAGTGGCCTGAAACTGCGTTATGTTCATATGTTGTGGTGGTTTACATTATATTGGTGTTTATACCTTTTCATGCCTCATTCGCCTACCTGTCCACTCCAAACCTGGTATACGAGTAACCCAAAAAACCTCTTCACACCCCCAAAAACCTGTCCATACTGAACCCAGTATGACTCAGAATACTCTCTACACCAATCCCTGTCACCCAGAAACCTCTTGTTACTCTAAACCCAGTATAACCCACAATACTCTCTACACCAATCCCTGTCACCCAGAAACCTCTTGTTACTAAACCCAGTATAACCC